CCGTCAATAAGTGCAATAAAATTAACGCCGTAATGTAGTGTTCAATTTCAGAGCAAAGCGGCACTTCCTTCCGTTGGAGCCACTGTGTTGCTTGGATTCATGCAAGGTTCGACTGGCCTCAACGGCCACAGCGCTGGTTCACGGTTTCTTGGCGGTGATCTTGTGCATCTCAGCGGTGATTTTCAGGAAGGCGCTACCAGACACAGTCACGGCCGGTTCGATCGTTAGTGATGTTCTCGGTAATACGGCGTTTTGTTACATATTTGCGACGAACAACCTCCTCTGGTTGGTCTTCAGTGCTATGCTGTCATTTGGTGTAGCAACGTACAGTGAGAAGCTCCTACGCATCAGTCTCTTTGTCCACATCTGCGTGCTTTGCGAAGGAACTCTTGCCGTCATCCTGATCGCCGTTTATGGCACTCGACCGCCGCGTATGTTCGGAGCCGTAGAAACGAGTACTGTCGTCGTCCTGCTGTTGATGTTGGCGTTCAGTATGTGGAGCGTTTTCGTCGTGCACAAATGCCGTACCTTTTACACTCTCTGCAGCATCCTCATCGACCTTAGTGAGGAAACTGCGAAAACCAACGGAAAAACAACCTCGGTTGGCAAGCTTGGCATTGCCAAAGATTCGCCTCATTACAAATAACATTCGAATCAATCCATTTGTAGTCAGCATTCGCCAAATGCTAAATGCTTCATCTAACATGCCGTTTAGGAGTTCTTGCTTGTAGCAATTATTAGCATGCTAATAAATCATTAACTAAAATTTTGAGTGAAACGATTTTAACTGCTTCAGAAACACTTTCGTCGTGCCGAGTGACATTACGATAGAGTTTATCCAGCTTTGTTACAATTTTTGTTGCCAAATACTGTAAAACAGGATTCAAGGCGATAATTATAGGCGGGTATTATTTAGACAGATAAAAAATGAGGCTCGACACTGATCAGTGAACGATACCGTGAGCCAGAGCTTACCAAGCGCCACCCTACTGGATCTCGATGAGCTGGTTGAAGAAGGTGGAGAACGAAGACTGTCGTTCATGAATTTTGGCGCCCTGAGTGAACTGCCTATTGACCTCGCCAAAAATACGTTACTCACGGAAGAATACGAGGGTCGAAAGTGCAGGTTATCACGTTCACTTGGTAGAGGTTAAGTACAGAACGCGACTGGCAAACTGTTAAATGATATCATCGTAATTTTCGTGGCTAGCCAAAACACCAGGACTCTGCCGTCAGACGCGCTCGTCGACATCTACATCGTTAAGGCGATGAAGATCAAAGCAGATGGTCATGACGTGTGCGAAACCCAAAGGTCCATCGAGTTGATCGCACAGTCGAACACTGGCGGTCAATAATTTCTCGGGGAGCGTGCCGTAGCCCGACTCGGACAGGTGGTGCAAGACTCGTCGTATAAAAGAGGGCTGTACCGCTCATAGCATCTGCAATCTCATGTCACTTCGTGACGTCATGCTAATTCTCCGGATGGACAAGAGAAGATCACTAAAGAGAATCAAAATTTACAACCCAACACAGAATGCGAACGGTGAAAAATGGAGC